AAAAGCCTCCTTAGAGCAAAATTCCTTAGAAAAACCACAGAATCACTTTGTCCCAGGTTTTAAGAGGCATGTCCTTCCCTCTACCACTATCCCTTGACTTTCGCCTACCACAAAGCATGGTGACAGCCAACCCAAGAGGGAACTCCAGAGCAGACTGCTTATTTGAAGTGACCCACATCGGGCAGGAATGACCAGGTGTCAGCATCACTGCCATGCACAGTCTCATTGGCGGGACCCTGCTCAAACCTGCTCTGCATTCCCACTGGAAGATCTTAAAGGAAATATGGCCTTGGATGCAGCTCCCAGGCTCCTTTACCTGACCTCTCCTGGCTATTCTGTTGCTTTGAAGCAAGATTCAGGAGCAAGAATGTGTCAGGGACATTTGTTCAATCAGCAATCATCCCACAGTTTGAAAATAATATTTATTTTCTTTTCTTTCTTCCTTCTTTTCCTTTTTTCTTTCCTTTTCCTTTTCTTTCCATACTATAGAAACATTACAGTAGTGCTAATTTCAAAAATAAGAATTAGGGGGACCAGCAGTTAGCGTAATGACTGTGTTGCTGGATTCCCATGTAGTCAACTGTGGTTCAAGTCCCGGACCCAGTGACTTAAACTCACACTGGGCATGTGTATGTGCGTATCCAAGATCTCGAGAGGAGAATGGAGGAGAAGGGATTGCGGTGTGGCCATCCCCACTAGAGAGGGATTTCTCGCTTTCTGTCTCTCTGTCTCTCTCTGTCTTTCTGGAGAGCGCACGTGCGCTATGGCAAAAAAACCTCTCCAATAAATAAATAAATAAATAAATAAATAAATAAATAAATAAGGATTAGGGCCAACAGATGGCATGGTGGCTAAGGTGCTAGATCCCACATAGCTGACTCCGCTGTTTGAGTCTTGGACCTAGTGACTTGGAAATCATGCTGGGTGCATGTGCATGTGTGCCCAAAATCCTATGGAGAGAGTGAGGATGAGAAGGGATTGTACCATGGCCATGCCCCCTGGGGGTAATTTCCCACTCTCCATCTCTTTCTCTCTGGTGAGCACACATACCCTATAGTAAAATAAAATAAAACTTCAAAAAATAAAAATAATAAGAATGAAGGAGAGTAGGAATAGCATTGCACCAGTGGCTTTTCAAGATCTACAAATTAGCAACATCTTAATGACTTAGCTGAAATGCTTGCAGCAGGGGTGGCAAACCAAGATTAG